GTCAAACTAGAACCATTTTCAAATGAGAGTGTTAGTAAGAGTGTTAGTAAGACTGTAACGAAAACCGTTTGATGCATAAAATTGAAATCGATTAAGTACATCACAGGTTGTTATTGCCAGTGGTTAAATAAATGAGTCATTCGTATTGAACGCAATTGAAGAGCTGTCAACACACAATCACAATTAATTTTATTTCATATATTAAATGCTTCCTTCTAAAAAATACGAATTGACAAACCCATTTGTATGTCAATTCATACAAACGCATTAGAATATATACCGGTGTTGTTTGTTGGGGTAAGCATCAAAATTGCCACCAGATGGCAAAAAGTATGGGTTTGTCAATTTGTATTTTTAGTTGATTGGGATTGTGTGTTGACAGCTCTTCAATTGCATTCAATACGAATGACTCATTTATTTATGAGTGCTGAATTGCTCAATCCATTTGGAGAGAGATTTGCGTAATTTGATTTAAAATTAAGAACATTTTTAGATGTCGATATTAAACAAAAAATTTTTTTTTTTATTTAATTCATTTGAACATTGCTTGTATAGTGTTTTTGTGCCAATTGAATTTAACTGATTACCGCACTCGGAATTGAGTTAACGTGAGTTGATGCAAAAATGAAAAGAAAAATTTATTTTTCATTGCAATTGCATTAATATTCTATTTTTAGGACGAATGAGAATTGACTTTGTTTATATCCACCAAATTGATTCGTACATAATATAAATGAAACGTGAACGATTTAATTTCAATGGAATAAAGGGCAAACCGAAGAATTAATAAAAAAAGTTGAGATCGGTTGACATTTTTATATTCATGCACACAAAAAACTCCTCGGAAGAGAATTGATAATTGTATATTTAAATGAATTTTTGAGAGACCCTTTTTAAATTACCGAGACCCCATAAATTCTTCAAAAATAATATATTGCCTAATGCCTAATGTCAAATCAAAATCATCATTTAAAGTTACAGTTTCGCCGAATATTTGAAGACCTCATTCCATGGTATTTTATTGGATCTTTGGTCAGCTGTGTTGCCAACATAGATTCATTGATGGGCGCTGAAATTGAACAAACATTGGAACGTACCTACGATGTCGTGATGAGCTCACCAGAAATCCGTCAATTGTCATTCGGAAAACTTAAGGCTTTGGGTAAGAAATAAAAAAACACTGAAAAATTAAATTGATTTCTAATCCAATTCTTTTGATAACATTTCATATTCAGAATCTGGAGCTGGAGGAGCTGCACCAACCGCAACCAGTATAGAAACAAGCAACAAACATCTCAGCTATTAGCGATGGAACTCAAGTCGTGTTCAACGATGAATTGATGCCAACTGAAGTTTTGGTCAAACTTGAGAGTCAAGTACCAGCTGGTAGCAAAGCATGCCCTTGCTATCGAAGGTTTTGTCACTGCTTTGAAACGATTGGCCGCCAAATTAACCGTACCAGTTTATGGTTTGCAATGTACAAAAGACGCTCATTGAGCGATTTGGCTACATTCTATATCAAATAAATTAATAACCGTTCGAAAGACTGGCCCATATGTCATCATTGGTTATTCGTTCGGTGCTCGAAAAAGCCACTCTTGTTATGCTTGACGGTTCACCAAAATACTTCAGCTGGTACACAGAAGCCCATCAACAATTCAACGAAAGAGCCACTGAAGCACAACACAAATCATATGGTTTGGCCTACTTCGGAATGGTTGCTGCAAACTTAGACTATGTAAAAACTGTCATGGAATTAGACATTCTTGCTTCACTCGATATGAAATTGAAGCATCTTGCTGAACGCATTGCTCCAAAAACTAAATGCTCATCTGAAACTGTTCAATTGGCATCGATTACTTTCTATACAAAAAACTCAGATGCCTTGAGATACTTTTACAAACCAGAACGTAAACTCACCAACTCCAACGTCACTTCGTTCAAAACAACCGAAAACTACGTTAAATTGGCCGCTGACTATGGTCCATCAGAGGTGAATTTCATTTGCATTTTACAGATATGCACTTTTTTATACACATTTGAATGGAAAATTATTTGAATTTTAAAACGTTGGTTTCCCCTCTCTCAATAGGTTGTTACATCGAAAATTGATGTTGTAACCGTGAAAGATGACCACATAACTAAATATCTTGACCGGAGAATCAGTAGACAAGATTGCCACCGTTCTGAAAGCACTTACCGATCTGTATATAAAGTTAATTTATGATAAATTATAAACTTGTTACATGGCCAAAAAGAATTTATCAATTGAAGTTTGTGCGGTAATTTTGTGGCAATTATTCAAGGGTCCAGTTTAATTGGCACATAATTACCACAGATTAAAATCAATGATAATTTTTTTTGCGCTTGTAGAAGAGTTAGACAGCTAAATGACACAAGAATAATGATTATGTAACATTCCATTTGAATACATTGTTTAATTTATTTATGAATTAATTTTATTTTTCTATTTCAAAACATGTTTATTTTTCTCAAATGAGTCAACAGATGCATGAATGAAATATATATTTTTTCGGTATAAATTAATGTAAGTCGAGCCTCAGGAGACGAATCGAACCTCTTTAAAGTTGATAAAACATGTGTTTTTTTTTTGTAAAAAAAAAACAAATATTTTAGGGTTTTTGATCAAATTTACCATCATGGAATATCGAATATTTTTATCGAATAATAAAAAAAATTGTATACATTGAATGTATAACAAAGTGAAAAAAAGTGTTTTATTTAAACTCAAAATTACCAACTTTCGATACAAAGTACAGTAAAGTAATGCCATAGCATATTTCATAATAAATACACAATATTATTTATTCGGTCTGTTGTTGCCGCTCAAATATAGCTACGAAAAATCCATCAGTTCGATCGATGTCTGGTTTTGCATGGAGGATCCAAAAGAATGTACTCTACTTTCTCATATTCAGGAGGATCTGCAATATTTTTTGCGATAAATCTTAAATTTCGACATAATTTTTTCTTTAAAAAATCCACAATTATTTTACAAACCTATTGAAAGTATGGCGGAGTTGACTGTTTTCACCAATTTTGAATTAGTTTTCTGTACAAACTTGTTTAATGTCTTAAATCGTTTGCGGTTACGTTCAATGGCCCAAATTGTTCCACGATTTTTCATAATTGCCGCCAAGTGCGAAGTCTTCATTCCGAGGGCCGTCTTACATATAATATTAGGAATTGAAAAGTATAAGCATATTCATAGTTCTTCATAATTTTGTCATAATTGTCGAACTAAATTGTTTCCAGAATCATCGCTGTGCGTTCCATATCCATTTCGATGTGATTGTCGAATGAAAACGTCTTCACGTATCGGAAATTTTTGGCTAATTGGATCTCGTCGTGGTCTCATCATTTGTCGTAAATCGTTTATCGAAATTTCGGAATTTTGGAAGGCATTCAAAAGAATCACAGCAATAATAACAATACCGAAACCGCATAAATCGCCAATCACATTTTCAACAGTCATGTGTTGCCATTCTTTCAAGCGTTGTGAAAATTAAATAATAAATTGGCGTCACAATGCTTGTGTTAAAAATGTCTAACGCTTTGGTAAGATAGCTCATTTGAACGAAGATGATGAAAATCGCTGTAATTATTAAAGCGTACGGTAGCCACAGTCCAAAATCATTTGAAGCATGGGTTCATCATTAAAGTGTGAAAAATCTTTTGCGAGCACTTCTGCTATTAAATTAAAGAATATTTCGATGCAAAGATTTGATCATATCTTTTCACCTCGAACTTTATGCCGCTGGAAAGGCTTGAAAAAGCGAACAAGTATTATTTTGAGCTTGCTTAATAAGATACACAACTACCACCATGCGGAAAGGTTCGTCTTACTCCCGTTCATTTTTGTGTTTCAGACTATACGAATTTTACATGTTATAACATTAGAATAACATGTAAGTTTCGTATAGTCTGAACACCCTAGAGTGGTCCAATTATGTCAATGTTTATGTGTTGGAAACGTCCGTCTGGGATTTTGAAGTTGGCGAGAATTGTCTTGTTATGTCTTTGGATTTTGCTTTTTTGACAGTCAATGCATTCGGCTGTCCATTTGGAAACGTCTTTTTTTATGTTGGGCCAGACATAACGTTCAGTCAACAATTTTGTTGATGCCTTTTTACCAGGATGAGAGAATCCATGAACGAGATTGAAAATTCGTTTGCGCATGTTTTCGACAATAAAAGGTCGAATTTGTTTGGTAGAAGTGTCACAGTAAATGTATAATTTAGAATTGGGTAAATTGATTTTACTTAAAGTCAGTGAATTTTTGGTCTTGTTATCAATGATATCTAGAAGTTCATGGTCATTTTTTTGTGATTTTGCCAGAAGTTCTAGGCTGATATCATCTGTTTTGACTTCTTCGATGCGCGAAAGAATGTCTGCAACAATATTGTCTTTGCCAGCAATGTGGCGTATGTCGGTCGTGAATTGGCCTATGAAATCCAATTGTTGTATTTGACGAGGAGATGCTGTATCAGATCTCTTTTGGAATGCATATGTTAATGGCTTGTGATCGGTGTAAATAGTACATTCGCGTCCCTGAATCATGTATATGTGATGTTTTACTGCTTGATAAATAGCTAGGAGTTCGCGATCGTATGTGCTATATCTTTTCTGAGTGTCTGTCATTCGTTTAGAATAAAAACTCAATGGTTCTAGCTGGTTGTTAGAGATTTGGTGTAGGTGTGCCCCTACTGCAAAATTGCTAGCATCAACGTATAAAGCTAATTTAGCGTTCGGAATTGGATGAGCTAATAGTGTGGCATTGACAATGTTATTTTTTGACTGTTCAAAGGCTTTGAATGCGTCGTCGTTCCAAATTAATTGTGTTTTGTCTTTCTTTTTGCTGCCCTTGATCAAAGACTGAAGTTTGCCTTGAATTTGAGCTGCGTTGGGCAGAAAACGACGATAGGTATTCAAGAGAGCAAGGAAGCTGCGAAGTTCGTGAGCTAATTCTGGTTTCTTGAAATTTTTAATGGCATCTACTTTTTCAGTATTTGGTAAAATGCCATTTTTGTTAACGATATGGCCTAAAAAGGTGATTTTTTCGAGACCAAAATCACATTTTGCGAGATTTATTTTCAAACAATGTTCGCGCAAGCGTTCGAATACGATTTTTAAGTGCTGTTGATGTTCTGCGGCATCTTTAGAAGCAACACAGATGTCGTCGACGTAAACGCTTACGAAGTCTAAATCGTTGAAAATATTGTTCATGAAACGTTGGAAAGTTTGAGAGGCATTCCTTAATCCGAATGTCATTACATTGAATTCGAATAGTCCGAAAGGAGTTATGATGGCTGTCTTTTCTTTATCTTCTTCGGCTATTGGGATTTGGTTGTATGCGCTAACGAGGTCAATTTTGGAGAAAATGGTTTTTCCAGAGAAATTGTGAGTGAAATCTTGTATGTGTGGCAAAGGATACCGATCAGGTTTTGTGATTGCATTTAACATGCGATAATCGCCACACAAACGCCATTGACCATTCTTTTTTAGTACCATATGAAGTGGAGATGCCCAAGGGCTTTTACTAGGTTGACAAATGCCGTTTTTGATCATTATTTCGAATTCTTTTTTAGCTATTGCGAGCTTTTCTGGGTTAAGTCGTCGAGCCCGAGAAAAAACTGGTCTTTCTGTTGTAATAATTTGATGTTTGACTACGTCTGGTTTCGAATTATTACATTTATTGAAGTTTGGCGGAAGAGTGAGATCTTTGAATTCAATTAAGAGATCGGTGAAATTGGTTTTGTTATTAATCGTACTAATTGTCTCGTAATGGGTTAATTGAGACACACATCTGGTGCGTAAATTGGTTTTTGCATCGATTAATTGTTTGTTCTTGATGTCAACTAATAGATTAAATTCGTCGAGAAAATCTGCGCCAAGTATTGGCTTTGAAACGTTGGCAATTAAAAATGTCCAAGTAAAGTTACGTCGTAGTCCTAAGTCGACTGTGCAAGTGAAATGACCGAAAGTTTCTATAGGTGTGCCATTTGCGGCGAAAAGTCTATACGTTTCCGGATTAATTAACTTTTTGAAATAACTTTTTGGTAAAACAGAGAAATCTGCACCGGTGTCTACTAAATATTTGCGAAGATTTGATCTATCAGTGACGAAGAGACGGTGAGATAAGTTGCTAGCCACTTCGCCTACCGTCGAGGGCGAAGTGGGTTTTAGTTTTCCGAACTGTTTGTGGAATTGTTGTCTCTCTTCTTGAATTTACATGGTTGTTCACACTTGCGTGCCATGGCACCGAATTTGTAGTGAAAATAACAATATGGACTCTTCCCCCTAGATTTAGAGCGTGAACGATTTTTTGTTTCGATACCTCTTGACGAATGTGTGCCTTGCTTGCTATTTGATTTTAATTCGCGAATAGACTTTGATAGTTCATTGATTTGTGCTTTTAATTCCGAAATCGAAAAATTATCCGTTTTAATTTCATTGACATTCATCAATGTGGTTTGTTTTGGCGTTGTCAATTCTAAAATTTTATCGGCTAAATTGGAGCACGTTGTTAAATCGTCGTTGGAAATGGCTACAACGGCCCTGACATTCTCAGGTAATCGATCGATCCATAATGATTTTAATGCGTCGTCTGTGAGAGAATTTTTTGCCAAATCGCGCATTTTTCGTAATAAATGTGACGGTTTGTCGTCACCGAGTTCAATTTCAGTGAGCAAAACCCTTAATTTCTTTTGGTCAGACTGTGTATATTCATCAACTAAACGTTTTTTTATTGAATCATATTTATCTGATGTGGGTGGATTACGAACCAAATCAGAAACCATTGATAAATATTGTGGTTCTAGTGCCGCGATAACATGATTGTATTTTGAATTGTCGTTAGAAATTCCTGCGTTTCTAAATTGAGCCTCCATTTGAATAAAAAATAAATCTGGTTCATTCTTCACGAATGTGGGTGCTTTTATTGTGATACGACTTATTTCTGGTAAATGCAAAGTGTTATCGGTACTTACATTGGATGCATTTCCTGCATTTTGATCGTCATCGTCGTTTGCCATTATGTATGTGTAAAGAATGCTGTTATCGCCGAGATTTTGTGTCTCAATCCGGTGCTCAATGATGAATGGTTTATCCAATGGTCCTCCTTCGATTGATTAAAATTTGTTGCGATGTGAAAAAAATTCTTGGTGCACCACGTGTGTGAAATTCGCTGAGAATGTTTGCGAACGACCCTCGTATGGCTTCACGTATTGAACGGTAGCATCAATTGACCACGTATTAATTGACGAAAGACACGTGGTATGTTGAACGTTGTAATGACTGTTCCTCGTTTCTTCTCAGAAACTGATTACGGTAAATGCTGCTGTTGTATCACACATGCGGTCGTCTGAATGCTTCGAAATGTGTTTTTGTTAAACCTCGTGTTCGCTTTTGATTTTCACCTTTTTTGCAATTAAAAAAATTCACACGTTGATTTTATGCGAAATGATCCGTTTTATTGATGTGTTCCACTCCTGAGTCGGGCACATAAGCGCGATGAAGAAAATGTGAACACTTTTACTTGTGTCGAAATCAATTGCAAAATGATTTGTTGAATAAATCGTTGATTAAATTGTGTGAAAATCGGTTGTTAACAACGTTCGGGGTCACCAATGTGGATGTGTTAATAATCAATAAAAACTCCACTAGTTAATTTTACTTTAAAATAAATAATATTTAATGAATCGTTTAAAAGGTTACAATTGCGTAGTTCTGTCTAATGCGTGCGAGTGCGGTCGATGCGATACGATGTTCACTGGACGACGGTCAATCGATGAGAGAGATGTTCATTTTTCGTTCCGTCACTCGCTACCAAAAAACTACTATAATTGTGACAGAAATTTGACAAAGTGTTTCGTTTGTTTTTATGCATCTGGCAATATTTAGTACCAAAATTTAATAGCAGTGAAGCTGCCACACATCTATAGCATTGGGAGCAACGTTCATAATTTGATTCACGTAGTGGATGATGTGGAAGAATTTGGCTCTTTGATGGATGTCAGCACATATCCCTTTGAAAACCGACTACAGTTTTTGAAATCAAGAGTAAAGCAACGCAAAAAGCCTCTTGAACAAATAACGCGCCGAATGGTGGAACTATCACTCGATTATGATCAACTTTATACCAAATGCTCTTTGAACGGTAAAAAAATTCCACAAGTTCGACTTCCTTACAAACTAAATGAAACATTAGTTTATAAAGAAATCCAAATCAGTATTGATTGTACACTTTCATCACACAAAAATTCCATCAACAGCTGGTTTTTAACTACTAATAATGACATTGTTAAGATGAAATACGCTCTTGAAAGTCCGAATGGTATATGCATGTATGGATTTCACACAACCAGTCTCATCTCAAAGACTCCATATTTTTAAAACATCTGGAAAAACGGATGACTCGTCCGTCAGACCATTTCCACTACACAAATTTAGAGCGAAAATGATTGCATTGCCTCTTGAAAAAGAATTTATTTTTATGCCACTCTTGCATACATTGCAATCAATCTAATCAAAAATTTAAATTATAATTAATAAAGATCATTTTGAAATGCGACCAAATAGTATGATTTGTTATCATTTATTAAATGATGGTGATGATTAAGTTTGTCTTTATCTAGCCCCAAAAAATGTAAAACTATTAAAAAATGGAACATGTTTCTTGAAGGATTAAGAACTGTATTATTAAAAATAAAGAGTCATGCATGCTGTTTGATAAAGCAATAAGACGAACTTTTCCGTATTGTGATTTTTTAGTCTAATTACATAGTCACATGTAGTTATATGTATGTCTTATGCATAAGATATGCATACAGTTTATGCATAATTTTACACCGATTTGAATTATTCGATGTGCATACCGCATGCATAGAATATGCATATGGTTTATGCATAAGTTTTTGAAGAAATGGTTCATTGGGAATGTAACAAAAAACACCGAAATTCTAACAAAACATTTTTATTTTGGGTATGCTATCAATCGAATTAAAACATGATATCCACGGTAATGCAACATTCAAATGTGCGAGTGTGCAATTGAGAAAAAAAATGTTTTTCATTTGTTTGATATGCATCAAACGCTTTCTTAATTGTAACAGAACAAAAGGACAATTCTTATCCATTGAAATGGATCACTTCATTTCCTGGGATTATTTTTGCTTTTCAAACAAAAGCAACAAGAGAAAATGAATCTTATTGGAAGTTAAAAAAAGTTATTTTCACATGATAACACGAATTCTGTTCTATTTTTTTATCATCACATTTTGAAATGATACAAGTAAAGGCCAAAATAAGATAAGTAGTGCTTTGGATAAATCTACAAAACCGAAAAATTACAAAATCAAATACAGAGCAAATCGAAAACTGGTTAATATTATTATATAAAGAAACAACAAAAAGAAATACGCATGGAAATAGAATATAAATAGAGAATTCGTAAATAAAAGAAAATTCTATAAACTAAAGGCTACAAAAATGGAAGTTGAATTTAGTTAGACTAAAAGAAATAATCAAATACCGAAGCTCACATTCAAATGAGTTGTAGGTCAATACAAAATAAAACTTTTCGAGCTCCTTCTGCGACTTTATCTCATTACCAATTGAACGAATACACAAAGACACTAATCAATTGACAAAGTGTATTACCTAAATACATAAATTTACATTGCAAGAATCTTGGACAAAAAAAAAAAACCATTCGTCAACTCATTAAAAACAGAACAACTACAAACAAACATAAGTCTCATTTTGGATTCCGTAATAAAGCAACCTAGAATCAATTAAAACAGAAGAGAACAAGAGAAAAAGACGTGTCATTGATATTTCATTCAAGTGAAAACATAAGAAGAACAATTCATCCAACTCAGATCTTGTAGATTTGCGCAAATAAAAACCATTTCTCAACTTTATGCCGCAAAATAAAAACAATAAATTCTCATTTTCTTTCCGCCGGCAAATTTCAAATTTATTCCCTCGTATAGTTCAATATGCACCTGTAAATTCACAATCTTAACACAATCTTCGTCAAAACAAATAATGTGACCCCACCCAATGAGCACTGTGTAATGCTTGTTTGTATGGAATGTATGCATATGGCGTGGGTGAAAGTGTAATGCTTTTTTGTATAATAGTATGCATAATATATGCATAGTATGAAATTTCTGAAATTTTTGATACACTATGCATACACTATACTTACTGCATTTTTTTAATTTTGTGCATATACTATGCGTAGTTTATGCATAATTTTTCAAGAAAAATAGAAAAATTGAAATCGCTTTTGCAAGAATCTGGTGTACACTTAATAATAGTAAATTAAAGAAAAATATGTAGCAAAATTATGAGTACACCGCCATTATTTCTATTTCTGAGACCTTTTTTCGCATTGATATTAGAAAAATAAATAGATTGATGCTACGCAAACCGATATTTATATACAAACGATAACAAAAAGAAAAAAATACGTGCCAACACTCAATGCGATGAATGAGAGAAAGAAAAAGATTTGTTTCGATCATTTGTACATCCACTTGAAAGAAACAAACAGCAAGCCTCGAAAAATTCAATTGAAAGAAATAAACAGCAAGCAAATTCAACAAAGCAACAAAATGTCTCTCTGTGTGAATTTATAGTTTTTACTTTTTTCGTTAAATTGTTTTCTTCTCGCTTACTCTTTCTATATTGTTATTATTATTTGGTTTTTGTACTGTTACAACAGACTGTTGTTTGTGTACAAACGACGACAAGAACAACAAGCGCATATGGGTTGAAACTTTAACTTTATTTAATCTATTGATATTTTACTGGATAATATTATTATTTAATGATATTAACGTAATTGAATGATAAGGAACGTTTAATTTCAATGGTATGCACTCAATTTTATTCAGTGGTGTTCACTTCTAGAAGTGTAATGTCGAAGATAAGCGTGGCATTGGGTGGCACTAGTGACAAAAGCCCAGCTTCTCCGTATGCCAATGATGGCGGACACTTAATGCGGCGAATAGATCCCGTTTTCATGCCCTCAATGCCAAGATCCCAGCCACGAATGTGTTCGTTTTTACCTAACTGGAACTTGTATGGAGTTCCAGACATGTGTTGGCTAAACGATACGTCCTTTCCTTCAATCCATCCTTCAAAGTAAATCGAAATGAAATCGCCAAGACGGGCTTCAATGCCATCGCAGATTTGCTTGTCCATGATCCATACCTGCGAAATAAATTCAAAGAAATTAGGATAAATTCAGCTGAAATGCTTAAAATATAAAATTGTCATATATACTTTATCTTCATCAGATGGTTCATTGTTTTCAACTGTATCCATTTTAATGGTGTTCTTGTTTTGACTCGATGATCCGCCAATGTTTGTCATATTATTCGATTCAACGGTGTATTGGTTTTGAATCGATGATTCGCCAATGTTTGGCACTTTTTCATCAGTTTCCGTGTATAGTTTTGATAAACATATACTCTGCAATAATTCACCATTGTTTCCCACATCGTGAGCAGATTCAGCACTTCTTGTTTGGTTGTCCATGACATAACCGTTAAGATACACATTAGCTTCCAAACCCGTGGTGATGAACGATAAAGAATTACCGACCGAAAAAACCATATCAATGGAAACATTTGGATTCGATTTGGTCATTGTGGCAATCAATTGTCTATAGTTATTTTTACACTGCACCCATAATTGAACGATGTCTTTGTGGCCTTTTGGGATTTTTGCGCTTGAATAGTCCACATTCACGCTCGTCACTCGTATGTTATTGGTTGCATTGAAATTACAGCGAACGGCTGGTGGTATGAATATTCCTATAGATTTATATGTAATTATACATTTTCTATTCTTTATTTTGACAAAAACATAAAAAAATTAAAATTATACAAACCCCAAATCATGTTTACTGCAGTTGTTGAAATCGAACGCACAATAAATATGCTTATAGTTACCGCGATGCTTATAGTTACCGCTTCTTCTGTCAAACTATTCATATAATCAAATTTGAGTATGACAGCTGTCAAATGTCAAAGCACATATTTTATTTGTTGAGGTCTTGAAAGTTCCATATAAGATCGGTTTCATACCAACAAGTGGATTATTATACGTATAATGGCAATTAACTTTGTTAGCGCATATGTGAGTTGTTTTTACTATAGTAATGCATTCTTTTTATAAATGTTCACTCAAATTTCATGTATATTTAATTATTAGGGTTTTTCTTACCTTGGTTGGAATCGATGGGCGAAAAAAAAACGCAGCATCAAAAAGAATATAATTGTGGTAAAAACCATGGTTTTTGTTGTTACTATTAAAAGATAAATTATGATGTGTTAATGCTAAGTATGTCCTTTTTCTTGTAGTACACGTGTCCAATTTGTTACATTGAAATAAAGTCAAAGAAATCAAACTTGATACGACACTTGAATCTCCACGATCAAAAAAATCGAATGAAATGTTCTATCTGCCTAAAGACATATCAAAACAAGGCCAACTTTGAGGCTCATGTTTTAAAGCACCATCCCAATGAAGTAGTTTATTTCACTTACACAGCTGAAGGTGTTCGAAAGCGGCCATACTATATTTAAAATGTGCATTTACTGATTCAATTATTATTGAATAAAGAACTCATTCATTTTTCATAGTTAAACCATTATATCTTTTATTGATAAATTAATTTCTATTATTGAAAAAGAAAAAAGAAATCACACAATTTCAAGTAAAGTCACAGTTGATATAACTGTTGCATTTGCTGGAATAAACGGCAATATACCAGCATCTCCGTATGCAAATTTCGGTGGAGATATTATTTGACGCGTTCCGCCCACCTTCATTCCAATAATACCGATTTCCAGACCTTCTATGACCGTTCCATCTTTGCTACCCAATGTCAAAGTCACACCGTGTCCATTATTCACGCGACCAACAACGTTCGAATTGCCTTGCACTAAATTTTCGAAGTAAATTCTCACAACGTCTCCATCCGTCGCCTCTTTTCCATCACCTTCAGTAATGTCATTAGTTTTGACAACCATTTCATGTATTTCGTTATTTTCTGAATCATCCGGTGTGAAATTATTCGTGTCCATAAATTGATTTTCGCTGGCTTCGCTTTGCTATATCAAGAGTAAAAAATATTTGTGAGTCGCATTTTCTTAAATGCATCTGAATTCTCACATACCACATTTTCTACATTTTTTCTTTT